GAGGAGGGCACAGCGTGTGTGTGGTACCTGCTACGAGCTGCCTGACTTCAGTTCTTTTAATAATAATAATAGTAATAATAATTGCTTACACTTATATAGTGCTTTTCTGGACACTCCACGCAAAGTGCTTTACAGATAATGGGGACTCCCCTCCACCACCACCAGTGGTGTGCAATTGGTGTAAAAAGGGTGTATAGTGTGTGCGCAGGTCACCTTATCTCCTGCAAACAAGGTAGGGGGGCTACGTGTCATCGGCTTTTAAAGTGAAAAACTTTTTAATTCAAGAAACCTTTTTAATGTGAACAAATTTTATTCTTGCTCATGCGTGACTAGATTCTGTGTCACTCGATGTTGTTACAAGCAGCTCACGCTCGCCTTGTGAGATGCAGTGGTTTTAAAAACCATGCGTGCTTCTTCACAAGACGAGCTCTGAAAGAGTTTTCAGCTCCATTACTCCTCCGGTCTGTCTGCATGCCGGCTGCACTGGGACAGGTATCAGTCTAAGACCTGAGGCGACAGGTCGATGCTCACAGGCTCCAGGACGCTTTTGGAGTTCTCCTTGATGGGTCCAAAACGAGGCCCCTGAGGAACGATGCACAGGAGCCCTTGTGTTACTCCTGCCCCTGCAGGCTTATTTGAAGGGGGTGGTGAATGTCACAGGGGTAATGTTTATATCCTGTGTACCACTGCTAATTCTCTGAGATGCAGACACATGTGTGCTTGAATAGTCAGATTACTGACAAAGAGAGGTACAGTAGACTTCCGAATAGTGTGTTCCTGAGAAGTTGCGCGATCGCAGGTAAATTTTCCCATAGTAAATAATAGAAAAGTGAGAGGGATGTGTCCCTTAGGGCTAATGGTTAGCTATCTTCTAAGATATTAATTAGGGTTCTGGGCTCGTATGCTGAGTAAAAGTACTCTTCATCAGCACATACAACTCCTGTCAGTTGCAATGGCTCCTACCAGACAGCAACCAGAGCAAAGAGCATCCAGGTGCATAGATGGGGTCAAAGGGAATGCCTTACACTGGTGGGAGGAACTGAACCTTTTTAGTCTTGGACGTAGAAGACTACAGGGGAGCCAATACAAGTTTTCAGATTCCTCAGAGACCCTGACAACGTCAACCCAGCAGACTTCTTTAAAGTCAACACTGAAACACCCACTTGCGTGCAGGCCAGTGAACAGTCTAGTGCCAGGTTGTCCTCTCAGGGCATATTGTGTGAGTACTGTCCAGCTCTGAACCGGGGATCCCTGCTGATTCACACCTTCCTCCGCACTAAGGGAGACGGAGTGTTACATCACGTTTTCTCTCGCACCGCTTTTTTCAAATAAGGCTTTTAATGTGTATTTTAGTCTTATTCCTGGTTTCACTTAGTTGACTTACTGCTTTCATGACATTGGTGGCAGCACTCATAAATATTATTACAGGTGAATGGAAAATTTGGCAGAATACAATTCAAATGGTAAATTTTGTTTCTTGCCTTAAAAAATGCATTGCTCTTCTCAGGACTGATTCTAGTGTAGCAATTGCGTGCATTCCTGAGCTCAGAGGAATACCTTGACAAGCTGAAACTGAGTGTCTTTTATCTTTGACTACAAGGGCTCCCACTGCACAAACTTTATTAAAGACTGATTTACATTTTGGTGGAGCATTGATGAAGGTGGTAGCAACTTCACTAGCACCAAAAATGAAACACAGACTAGTGAAAATGGCAGGAAAGTGCACTAGAACAAGTTGGGAACAAACTGCTTCATTTTGTTGTTTGAGCTAATAGCCTGCCACCTTTCCAGAACCAGAAACTAGATGAATGAGATCCTCAAATCACATTTTGCTACGGTTATATAGAAACTAAGCATTCTAATGGTCTCCTCACTTTTGCAACCTGTCTTATGTTATTAATCAAAAATCCAAACTTGATTAATAGTTTGTGAGTGATGCTTGGTGTGTAGGCAGTGTGCATGATAATATACAAGGGATTTACAGTGTCTCCCTAATCCCTCTCTTTCCAGGTTAACCTGTGTGGTTGAGGAGCTGTATCTTTCCTGGGTCCTGCCCCCTGCCTACTGTCCAGACCTGTCAGAGCCTCAGCGCCATCAAGTGATCAGCCTCACCACACACCTGCTGCACTGTGAGCTAACCCTCTCTCAGTTCAATTCAAGTGAATTGGCATGACCAATGAGTAAAATCAGTGTTGCCAAAGCAAAACAAATACAATTAACACAAAACAAAAATCTACAGACATTTACAATAAAGACACATCATAATATTTACATATATTGTAGACATATGGGGCATTATTGGGTGACAGGCTCATT